ACTGAAACAACGTTTTCATAAAAATCCTTGATATATCACATAAGCTCACTTTTTATGAAGTAGGCCAAAGCTTTATGAAGTGACTGGAAACAAGACAAAAAGAGTATATAAGCCTATACGACATACATACATATACTGAAAGCAAAACATTTGATCTTTATATAAATGCGGAGCTTAAATAGAGAAATAATATAAATAAATAAGAACAATCTTCGGATTGTCACGGGGGTTTTAACAGGACACTGTCTTATCAATGAACACCTCAGTAGATTGAAGCTAAGAAACAAGCACGCCGAGACGACAACCATTCGTGCCATAAACTTTGATATCACGTGACGACTGATATCAGTGGTGGAAAATTAGCCTCTGTAAAATCGTCTCAGATACTGGCTTTTGCCAAAGCCCTGAAACTGTATGATGAGTTATTACTACTACTACTACTGCCATTACTCGCTGACGAGTATTTGACACGCATCAAAAGATGGTTACGCAAGGCGTTTCCTGTCATGAGCTTTTCTGTGACTGAAAAGCCCGATTCGTGATGTTATCTCTCTTCCGCATTCAAAAATATCATTACTTTGTTGCCTCTTTACTTTTTGGTTGTCGTTATTAACTGAATTTAAAATTCTCCTCCATTGCGTTCTACTGTGCGCTGCTTCCTCCCACTGATGCTGCATACTTATCCCCTTTAAGTTTTCATGAACAACATCCTTGTATCTTTTGAGTTGTCCACCCGGTTTCCTCTTACCCTCTACAAGTTCCCCTCATTCTGCATACGTGGCCAGCCCATCTTAAGCGAGATTTAGTAATCATGACTTCAGCGCTCTCGCAGCTTGCTTTTTTAAGGACTGATACGTTTGAAACATCGTGGTACCATTTGATTCTGAAAAGTTGTCTAAGGTGTCTCTGTTGCAACTTGTTTAATGCGCTCGTGTGCCGGCGGTACGGCACCCAGGTTTCGCTTCCATATACCATGGTGGGGATTATTACTGCTCGATACACTGCAATTTTCGTTTTTGTGCTCAAGTCATGATTGTAGAAAACCCTGTCTTTTAATTTCCAGAATGCTCTTGAGGCGCTGCGGATTCTGTGCTGAATTTCAGAGTCGATATTTATCTTTTCCGAAATCAAACTGCCGAGGTAATTAAATTCCGATACATATTCCAATAGTTCCTCTCCGATTTTTATAGCGCTGTTATGATTTTCCGGGGGAGTGCACATGATTTTTGTTTTTTCGATGTTCAGTTTAAGGCCCAAAGTCTCGTATGCCCAGGTATATGTGTTCAGCATTTCCTGTAATTGCTGTAACGTATTTGCAACTAGAGCGCAGTCATCAGCGTATTGGAGTTCTGTGATGGATTTTATACGTGTTTTTGCCCTGAGTCTTTTTATGTTGAACAGACCGCCGTCATACCTGTATCTAACACCCATTCCTCTCTCCTGCAGTTTGCTGTCCACTATAATCGAGAGCGCTGCCATGATTATGTTGAATAGGAGAGGAGCTAGAACACATCCCTGCTTAACTCCTGTATTTGTCAGGAAGGGATCGCCCAGTGATCCATGATGTGACACTCTCGAGTTGTTGTTATGGAGGCTTTTACACACACTAAGAAATTTGTTGGGCACTCCGAACTTTTGCATAATTGCCCAAAGTGCATCTCTGTTTACAGAGTCGAAGGCTTTCGTTAGGTCGATGAATGCAACATAAAGTTTACTCTGCTGTTCCTTTACTTTTTCCTGTAGTTGGCGGACGGAATATATGGAGTCAACGGTACCGCGGTTGGTGCGAAAGCCCGTTTGCGATTCTGGGAGGATTTTTTCTATATGTGGGTGCAGGCGGTTTGACATAATTTTAACGAGAACTTTACCTCCGATAACCAGTAGTGAAATTCCTCGGTAGTTTCCGCAATCTGATGCACTTCCTTTGTTCTTAAATAATATATAATAATAGCTCCCGTATATAGCGTTTAACGCCTTGGGAGTAGCAAGGTACAGCTTGCTATACTAGAGCCGTTCGGTATACAAGGAAGGTAATGTGGCTACCACTACGCTTCAACCGCCCTATTATTCTTAAATATATTTACTATATTCGCGATGCGAAAATCCTGAGGTACCTTTAAATCTATAAGTGTGCAAACAAAGAACTTATTGGTCATCTTAAGGCTCTCTTCGATGTCAGAGGTACCTCATGATGAGTTATAATTCAAAAAAGGGGGACATAATAGATCTTTAAGGTCGCGGTGATTAACTCTCCTCCCGTACATTCAACAATCTACAAGGCACGGTGGTACAAACATTAAAGCTTAAACTCGAGTTCACGTAAACTGTGAAAAACACTGATCTCAATCAGCCTCAATCTACTGAGGGGTTCGTTAGTGTCCTGTTAAAAACTCCGTGACAATCCGAAGATTGTTCTTACTTAATCTTACTTAAGATCTTACTTTACTCCTTGTCAAATCCTTTGTTCATTTTCTGCCACTTTATATGACCTTGTTCTCGCGTCCCGTGACCACTGACGTAGCTGTATAGTCGAGGTCTATAACTAGGGAAAGTATAGTCGTGGCACTCGCCATAGTTTGACAGAGATGTATTTAGGAAAATATGAGTTCACAATAAAATAAAATAAAAAAAACTGATCATCGAGTCAAAATTTGCTTGAAAACAGAATATTTTCACATTTCGTGTAAGCAACAATTATTCTTCTGTATCTGAAAATCTTCTGATGGGAAGAAATGCGGAAAAAAATATATACTTATATATTTTTATATTATTATCTATTTCAAAGATTTTCTACAACTTTTTTTAATTTAAAACAAGTTTAATTTTAACATTATGTGTTTGTTTTGTTGTAATATATTGGTTAGGTGATTTTCATTGGCTAACTAACTACACTGAACAACACATTGTACTAAGTAATAAAATATCATATTTAAACTTCAATAATTGCTGCAATAATGTTTATTATTATAGAAATTTCAACAGAGAAAAGAAGCAAGAACAATGAGAAATAGCATCACTACTTTCTCACGTAATAAAAGAACACCTTTTTAGTTATTGTTACCGAGTCCCGAAGGTACCGAAAGAACCGGGAATTAATTCTTTGATATCCCAAAAGAACCGGGAATTCCCGGTTCTGAACCCTAATTACCAGATTATCAAGAAATTATGTTTTTTAACTAAAAACTAAAAAAAAATTAAAGATTTAAAAAAAATGCTCAGAAAAATCCTCATATTTCTGGGGCCAAAATATACCACCCCTAAAAATATTTGCACTTATTTAAGAGTCATCCTGTATAGGGCGATTCACGGTTATGGTACGTTAAGCGTTTCCGGAACCGGAGCTGTTTTTCCGAACCGGTAATTTCGGTACCATGCCTCTAAGGAACCGGGATTTCCAGTTTTTTCTCTGTACTTTCGGTACTAGCAAATTTTTGTTCAATGATGGTGTAGTTCGTTAAACAGCAAGCAAGGAATGGTTGTCAAAAGTAAAATCGATAAAAAATTGAGGTTTAAATGAAAATAATCAAATTATTAAGTAATCAGTCAAGAGAAAATTAACCTGAACACAAATGACTCTTAAAAAAACTCACTGCACAATTTTTTAGTAAGGCACTCATTTTTTGTCAATCCGTCTCTGTGCTGGGACGTAACGCTTGAACCTCGCAGGTCGACGGACGGAACTCAACTGAAACGCTCTGCAATCTGCCGATATTCGACAGAATATAAAAACTGGCAAAAATATTTGGGAGAGTGCAACTACTCTTTTCCTTCTACTATGCTTAACCCAAGGAAAATCTTCGATTTTTCTCCGTCGTAACTTCTGAGAACCTTTTTCGAGTATTTCCAGGTTACGGTTCCTAACCTCCAGGTTCTTGAGTTCCGCTTTAAGTTGGTTTCCAAAGTAGTACAAGTAATACAAAAAAAAACATTCAAATTTTGAACTTGATTTAAATCCGAATTCACCATGAACCGAGTATGCATATGCATAATTAGGCCTTGGTGTATTTATTTCGTAAAAAAATCTTGAAAAAATCAAGACCGCACGAGTCTTGCAACCTGGGTCTTGGTCTTACCTAAGTCTTGCACACATCAAATTTTGTGATTTTGCATCATCCTATACTAAGCATTTCTGGTATACTATACTGGCATTTCTAGGTCAACACGCTTAGTAAAATAAAAGGTACTGAATAAAGACAGAAGGCAAGTATTTTTCCAAGCGCATGGAATCTAGCGTCAAATTAAGTGATTATGTAATAAATACTTCGTATTTTTGCTCTCTCCGACTTACTAGATTGCCATAGGGATTCACTCCTATACATGTAAACGCCAACCCAAGGTTTCGCTTGCCAGCAGGGTATAATCTATTAACTTTGTAGGAAAACTAGTGAATAATTTTTTGCACTTAGTCATTTACAACCTGTACTTATAACGAATATTATCAACCTTTGATTTGTCCTATTAGGGAGACTATTACCGTCTGTCATTGTAATAATCATCTCTATATAATTTTATTACGTGGGATAAGTACTTTATGACATATATTTATATACTTCGTTGTAATTATGGGAACTCACGATCCTGTGAATCTTTGTAATTTCGAAATAATGGAGTAAACGGGCGGATATATCAACAAACCCCGTTAATTTGAACATAATATGTACGATAAATTTGTAACTGAATAAACACGAAATTGTATCAAGTTTAACTAACTATTGCCTAGAAGAACAACGATTACAGGAACTAATTTTCTCTAATGTTTGGTTAAATTGTTTTGTTTCGTAATGAAAGTTTATTAATCATTTCAAATATGATTTGGTACTGCCTTTGATTCTATTCAAATAGTAATGTTTATGCCTGCTACACATATTCAAACGGTTAAGAATATTTTAGAGTGGCTACGAGTTTGTTGTGGAAACGCCTATACATAAAATATATGAGCATTTAAAGTTTCCCAAATTTCGATTAACTTTAAATAATTTTTGTTTTCCTTTGTGTTCTAGACCAAACCACAGTGCCCAAGCTACCGCCCATGTGTCGGCGGAATTGTACAAACCGTCGCGATCGCCGCTATCCAATACCAGATGCACGTACCCCGGCTCCCCCCAACTGCAGCCTACACCGACGAACGTCACTCAAGTTCAGGTATGTTCTTGTTCTTAACCTTTCATTAAACGGGCATTGACGTTAACGCCCGAGAAAAATCGTTAAAATATAGTTTTTCTGCAGCTTATCAATATTGCCCAAATCCTGTGGATTTTTACGTTAATAACCGGACAGTAACAACAATGGGCGCATTCAGTAAACACACCGGTATTAACCGGTAAAGACCTACCGATAACTTTTCATTGAACGATTAAGTTACCGGTACGTAAATAAACCGGAAACAAAATACGGTAGGCTCTCAAGTGATCGGTGACCACAACCGGTGAGTTACCATTGGCATTCACTTTAATTTTCTGCACCGGTGGAGTAACCGGTATGTTTACTGAATGCGCCCAATGTCCAGCGAAATTATCATCATCATTTTCAGCTTATTCAACCATTTCCAATTGTGGTGTAGTGGGTAGTTTCCCTCACATATTTAGATACTCTCTTTGTAATTGGGCCCATTCGTGTCTATTGTTAGCTATGCGAGTCCAAGTTATCCCTGCTAATTTCCTAATATCATGATCCTATCTCAGGTTTGGTCTTCCTAGGCCTCTTAATTCCTCCTGGTTACCGTGCTGTAATTTTTGTGGTCCATCTGTTGTCCGTCCTTCTTGCCAGGCGTCCTACCCATTGTCACTTGAGGGATTTGATTCTGTTAATGACATCTATTACCTGGGTCTTTTGTCGTATCCACTGTATTTTTTTACGGTCATTCTTGGTTATTTCGTTCCATTGTGCGTTATGCGACTGTAGTTTTCTTATAATTCCCGTTTTAAGGATGATTCTCACTATACATTCCGTAAACGTTCCGTATAAAGGTTGATTCTCACTATACCTTCCGTTTCCATTCCATATCCGTTCTATATTTTTTATTGTATTGACGCTATACGTAAGCTTCCGTTCCGTATTAGTTCCATACTTTTTATTGTACAATTTATGTCATTACGAAAGTTTTATTTTAAACATTTGTATCTTTTGAAAAAGGTAATAGATTTAATTAAGAGGTGAAAGAATAATTAAATATGAGCAAAATGTTAACAGAGCTGGTAAAAATGTAAGAACTTGAACGCTGTTTCCGATACGCTTCAGTCCGTCCGCCAAAAAAAGGTATGGAACAGAAGGGAAACGGAACGGATAGTGTCCTATTCATTTACATGATATAATATTTTATGTAAACGAAAGGGAGCTGCTGCAATCAACCTTGATACGGACTTTATCTGTGACAGTAACCCTATTATTTTGTTAATGATATTTGATTGATTTTAGGTTTCTCAGAGGTATACCACACAAGGGCCGACCACCACCAGCGGTCCTCCCTCGCTCATCCACTCCCCCGTCTACCACCGTCCTCAGCCCGACTACCGACACCCGAATCGGATATCGCTGCTGCATCCGGAATATGGCCCCGGCGGCAGAAGGGATATGGCGGGGGGAGCTATGGGCCAGCCCCTCCAGCAACTCGGAGAACAGCCGTTTAAGAAGATCAGGTTGACTGATAAGGATGTGCAACCTTTGAGGATTGATACTCGAGTAAGTATAAACTAACCATCATGGCCTTACCTTTCTTCAGTAAGGACGTGCTTTAGCTTTATGTATGCATATATTTCAAATTTCGTAGTTAACTGAATACAAACGCTTTCTAATAAACTTTTGCCCACACTTAGTTTATTGTGGAAGGGGTATTTTAGGGAGATAACCTAGGTAATCTACTACTAATTAACATTTTAGGGAGATAACCTAGGTCATTCTGACACCTGTTCATCTCTTACATTACTGAATTCAACCCAGCCTTTTGATATAGATGGTTATACCCGAGGATATTTTACCAAGAGAGTTTACTAAGTTCTGCATAGTTTTACAGAACAACTCCTATAGTTTCTACGGGTAGTTCATTCTCTGCATGTATAATTTGAGATTGTAATGGCTTGTATACGCTGCATTCGGCATATGCTTCATATGTTCTTGGCGTGTGCCAAGTGCCTCTTGGAAGAATGTAGAATGTATAGGAGGGGAGTTAATTACCTAACCTTACATCTATCGTATCCCCCTTTCTCGAGTTATAACTCATCATACCTTTGAGAGGCCTTTGACAAAATCTATTATCTGAGACGGTTTTACAGAGGCTAGTTCTCCATCTCCGATATCAGTCGTACCAAAGTTTATGGCCCGAATAGGAATTGTTGTCGTCTCGGCGCATTTAGTGATGAGGTGTTCTGGTGTTTTCTCATTTTCCCCACAGAATCTGCTTTCGTCGTTATTTCTTAGCTTCAATCTACTGAAATGTTCGTTGAGGAGGCAGTGTGCAGTGTAAATCCCTGTGATAATCCGAAGATTGTTCTTTAAATCAAAGAAAATCTTTAATTCTCGATCGTAAGTTCTGCGAAATTTCTTCTAGTGTAACTTAGTGTAAACTTTCGGATGATTCCCATTCCAGGTTATGGTTGGAGTCTTCCAGGTTCTTGACTTCCACTTTAAGTTGGTTTCCACTTGGGAAGCAGAACGGTCCTGGTTCCAGTTAGTGTAGTGTTAGATTTTTTTCTAGCTAGGTCGTTTGCTTTTTCATTGCCTTTTATCCCTTGGTGGGTTGGCACCCAGAGTTAGAGGATTTTATTTACTTTGACTAATTTTTTCAGCTTCTCTTTCTTCTTCTATTTTCTTCTCGTAGAACCGGCCTCTTGCATAATAGCCAATCTCATCCATTGTCTTCCTGCCACTGTTCTGTCGTTATCGATCCATCTCTTTCTTGGTCTGCCAACGCAACGGTTCGGAGATCTTATATGATTATACCGGTTAACATAGGGTTATTGAACAATACTCCATTGAAATTGTTTTCAGCTAGACAGATACATATATATAATATACCACATAGTTTCTTCACTTTTTATGCTTGAATCTGTACACGTTGTTTACACCTCTCAAGTTCTGTGTAACTCTTGTTCCAGCCTGCATTGGCTTGTATAATATAAGTTTTTTTCGTTTTCCTGTTATTACCGATTGTGAACCGTCCTAGAACTCTGCAGCGCATGCGCAAATGAAATAATGTCTTCATATTTCCTTGAGCGCATACGCATCACAGTTCTAGGACGGTTCAGAATCGGTAATAACAGGAAAACGAAAAAAGCTATAATGTCATATTAGTTCTAAGACCTAATAATGTCATTGGACATTATTAGGTCTTAGAATTAGTAACCTGTAACGTTTTAATATCCCGATATCTAGATTAGATTCTTTGGAGGTACTCATTTCATATATTTCAATAGCAATTGGAGACTGAACCTTCGATGTTGATTTTTTTAACGGCTTATCAGCAGTGGAGGATCTTTTTGTTCTGTGTGGCGGAGGCTCCCAGGCTCTAATCTACCTAGAGCGGCCTCTGCTTATCACGGTTCAGTACTTTTAACTGCACATTTGCCAGTCAATCTTAATAACATAGAATGGATTCTGCCGTTTCTCTCTTCGTTTTATTGTCTGAAGCTGCATATGGCTTTGTCTGTTCAGCTTTAAATGCCTATTGAGCTTACAATGCCCTGTTAGTAGACCTACCATATTTAAGACAATGTACCTGAGGGTTTATCGTTTCAGTCGTTTTGCCGTGTATTCTACTATGAATTGCCTTAGTCCTGGTGAATTTTTCTACCATTCTAGGGATTTTTCTAATCCGCAAAGCCGGTCACTCGCCAGGCAACGCTAGGTGCCCATACTGCCAATTCTGACGTAACAAAATATTCTGTGACTGTTCACGAATTCGTATATTAACTAGAAGTTGAATATTGGGGAGTCGACTTTCAGTTTGATAACATATACTTTTATTACTGATAATGGTATGTAAAGTTTGTCCAACGAATCAGGGAAGATCCAAAAAATTCAGGGAAAAATGACAAGACACTACTGTCTGGGGCATCCTCATGTTGATAGACTATAGTCTACTAGTCATAAGTTTATCGCTGTCCATCTGGTGAAAATCATAATAGCAATAAATTATCAATTTTTTTTAGCCTGGAACGTATCATCCACAGACAGAAGCGATTTCCCCTATCCTACCTGAGCAGGTCTCCCAAGAAGATCAAGCATTCAAAACAACGAAAGACGATCTGATCCAGCAAATTAGTAAGGTGGATAGGGAGATATTGAAGGTGGAGCAGCAAATTGTGATTTTGAAAAAGAAACAAGCGGAATTGGAAGAGGTGGCGAACAAACCGCCTGTTAACTCTGAAGTGGAAGAAGAAACGCGGCCGCAGCATCAGAGCTTACCACAGGTAATTAAAATATATAATATGCGTTAACTAGAGACATCTGTACTTAACAGTCAATCTTACAACACACATTGACATCTGTCAATCTTAACTTACTCTTGCATATTTTTTTGTATGAAAAAAATACAATTTTGTATTTTTGCATTATTTGTATTTATTTATTTAAAATATATTTATTCTTTTAAAAGTATTATATATACACTCAGAGGCAAAAAACGCAGCGGATTTTTTTTTCGTCGAATTTGTTGTATTGTTATACATTGTAAAAGTGTTATATATTTTTATTTTTAGCTTTTTTTCATGATTTTTTAGCAAACTGTATATAAATATACCTACTTTAATTTTTAAACTCAGTTTTTTTTATAAACTTGGCTTATTATACAGAGTCAATCGAAGAGTTGTTTTTTACCTTAAATTTAAAACACCATGTGCGATATCTTCGTGAGTAAATTTTCCTAAGACATTGTTTTTCTGTCAGTCTTCTGATCATTTTGTTTTTTGGCTCATGTCAGCACATGCATTGGTTAATTTTTAAGAGCGAAATAAACTTGCCACCAACAATTTGCAATTTTTTCAATTATCATTACGTTTTGTGTTTTTGATTTTTTAATATGACGAGGTGGCATAAGTGACTACTGTCGTAATGCTATATTGACAATTCCATTTTACATACTTACAATTGAATATAATCCTTATATGTCAAGATTCTTGCAAAATTTGTCGAAGATTCTGCAAAAGCTGTTGCTCTTGTTCAAGATGGGCGAAATTATGTATAGTAAGTAGTAGTAAAAAAGGGTAATACACACTTATCCCTCTACTATAAAAAGAGTAGTGGAACGTTTTAGACAAACTGGCCGAAATATGCGTAAAAGTGGTAGAAAGCGCAAAACTACTGGTCTAGACGACCGATATATCAAAATCAACGCTTTGCAGGACCGTCATTTAACAACGGTTAAAACAAGACGTTACATGAATTAAAAAAATGCTCAGGAGTAATGGTTCTGACCGAAAAATAACGTTCCAGGAAAATTTACTCACGAAATGATTGCACAGGGTGTTTTAATGTTAAGGTAAAAAACAACCCTTTGATTAACACTGTATAATAAGCCCATCAGTTTGTAAATTCGCTTATATAGGTGAAATCGTTTCTGTCTGTGGATTATACAGGGTATCCCAGAAATAAGTGCAAGTATTTTAACTGGTAGTATATTTTGGCCTCAGAAACACGTCTGTGAGTCTTTTTTGCGAAAAAATTTTTTTGAAAATTTGGAATTTTAAAAAAAAAAATTGAAATTATTGAAGTTATAAAACATAATTTCTTGATAATATGGCAACATAGGTAGTAGGTTAAATTTACATGAAAGAAAATCCAGAAAAGGTCCAGTGGTTCTCAAAATTTAAGCAAAAAAGCATTTTTTGTTTAAATTTTCAAAGTAAAATAATTCGGTTATTTTGGACTTATTTGAAAAATGGTAAAGAAAAAAAAATGTTTCTTTTGACCAGATCTACCACCCCTTAAAATACTTACACTTATTTCTGGGACACCCTGTACATTCCGGGCAATTTACAAAAATTTTACAAATACAAAAGTTTATAATAAACTGATTTTACCTTTTTTACGAATTAAAGTTGAAATATTTATATACAGTTTGCTAGAAAAGTTATTAAAATAGGGCTAAAAATAACACTTTAAATTTGAGGAACATTTTTTTCGTCATCGTCGTTTTTTTTGCATCTGAGTGTAGATTAGTCTAATCTAATTTTAATTTTTGTATATTTGTAAAAATAAAATAGGAAACTACGTTTAACTAACCTGCTTTATATTTTCAGAAAATCTACGCCGAAAATCGTAAGAAAGCTCAGAATGCACACGCCCAGTTAGATTCATTGGGTCCTAAAGTGGAATGGCCCTTGTACAATCAACCGACTGATACTACGGTGTTCCATGAAAATAACCGACGTAATGTGATGTTTAAAAAACGCTTATTAGAATATTTTAAGAAGAAACATACCGAAAGATATGCAAGGTTAGTTTCCATTAAATCTAGTTAAAGAATTACAAGAGTTTTACTTATATCATGTAACAATAGATAACCTGTAAAAATTGTTGATTTTTTTACATGGAACAAATATGTCTGGTCATCTCAAATCCGTGGTTTAATTGAAAACAATAGGACAGGGTTAAAAATAGAATCGATCAGTCTCATACCAGGTAGAGACTGATCGATTTGACAATTGTCATTTGTTCTCTATATTTTTGTTTATATTTCTTTGTAGAATAGAACATATTATTTTTTTTTTCTGTATTGGGACCCCTTTTAGTGTCGTAGCCATAGAGTAAAGCCATAACCATGGTAATATCAAAGATTAAGAAATTATACCGTGGGAAAATTTGCGGTGAATCAGCAGTTCTAAAAAGTCTTCCAAAATATACTGGAAAATTTAAAAGAAAATGCACGATTTTCAACATGTTTTTTTGCGAAAAAAAACTCATAGACGTGTTCCTGGGGTCGAAATATAACCACCACTAAAAATATTTGCACTTATTTAAAACCCATACTGTATATATTAAAATAACGTATATAGAATGATCAGACCTAGCATTTATTTATGTCTGTATTTTTTAATGATAATCTAATCTAACAATAGTCAATTTCAATTCATATTTTCAATGCTCAGTTTTTTTTTTTTAATTTTTAGACACAATCAGTTGACAGGAACATATAGTAAACTTATGCAGGAATGGCTTAGGAAAGTTGACAAAATAGAGTCCAGCACGAAAAGAAAAGTCAAGGAAGCTAAAAATAGAGAATTTTTCGAAAAAGTCTTTCCTGAGCTGAGGAAACAGAGGGAAGATAAAGAAAGGTATGCTCAGGGAATTTTGTTTTACGAAGCTTATTATTTAATTGCTACATTGTTTTAGGTTTAACAGAGTGGGTGCTCGAGTTAAATCAGAGGCCGATATGGAGGAAATTATGGACAACCTTCAAGAACAAGCATTAGAAGATAAGAAAATGCGTAGTTACGCAGTTATACCCCCCATTTTGTTAGATCCCAAGGAAAGGCGAAAATACACGAACAATAATAATTTTATAGAAGATATGGAGGTTGTATATAAGGTATATTAGTTTTTAATTGTTTAATTTTAGAAACATTTAAGCATAGAAAATTGATACTGTTGAAGTCCTAAGTATATAAAATTTAACTCGATATAACAGTGGCATAAAACGACTTTCTGATTCATTAAATTCGTTTGAATACTTTGAATGTATCTCATTTTGGTGATATTGATAAAAAAAATCGTATATTAATCAAATATACAGGGTGGCGCACCTCATTCGCCTCGTTTAATTATACGAAAACGAACTGAAAGATGTAGAAACAAAATATTTTATGTCTAAAATATATATTATAATAATATTATTTATGTATAAAATTTTGTTGAAATATACAGGTTGTTTCAGAACTAGATTAGATTAGATTCCTAGGGGTGGCTTTTGGTCTGGTCCACTGCGACCTTCTTGTGCTGGTTTAAAGGTAGAGAAATTAACTTTACTGAAAAAATGATTGCTTCCTTAAATTTATACAGGGGTACTAAAAATTGCTGATCTATTTTAAATATTTATTATTTACATAAAAACTTCGTTATTGCTAATGCGACACACCCTATTTTTTAAAATAAATCGAAGCAGATTCAAATACACTTTCAAACTATATTCGGGTTTCCTATACCTATTTTGCTAGTTTAGTCGCCATGAAATTGCCATGCCATCTAGCGACACTAACTATTTTCAAAATCGACATTAGATTATGGACTTTTTTATTTAGATTTATTACAGTTTACTTAAATTTATCCACAATAGTTTAATAAGCAGTATTCATTATTTTATCAAGAAAAATAAAGCAGTATCTGCTGGCCAAACAAATGGATATGTTCATAGTGATTTTATTTTGTGAGGAAAATTGCTCCTTGGCCTCAAGGGTTTATGCTCAAAGATATCCAAATAGGAATCTTCCTGATAAGCGTTCGTTTGAAAAACTACTTGTCGTATTTCGCAGAGCTGGTAGTATAGTTTATAAAAAACCTATTAGGCCGGTCCGGAAGGGAACACTAGGAACATCTTCGTAACGGAAATGAAGAAAATGAATTTGCCGTAATTGGCTCTTTTATAGAAAATCCATATATTTACCTGTCATTGTAAAATAAAGCAAAGAACACTTCGTTTTTCTTGATAATATAATAAATACATATTTAATAAATATTATCTATTAAACTATTGTATGTAAATTAAATAAAAGTAAACTGCTATAAATTTAAATAAAGTTCATAAATTAATTTTTGAATATAGCTCTAACTGTCACTAGAAACTTGCCATGACGACACCATCCCTGTTGGTTCATTTTATTGAAAAATTGCTCTTTTTTCAAAATCTGAGCTAGATAGGTATAGGAAACCCTAATATAGTTTGAACGAGTATTTAAATCTGCTTCGACTTATTTAAAAAAAATACATAGTATTGCATTTGAAATAACGAGGTTTTTACGTAAAATAAATATTTAAAATATACCATCAGTTTTTGATACCCCTGTATAACGAAGCAATCAAATTTTTCAGCAAAGTTTATTTCTCTGGCTTAAAAGTCAACACAAAAGTTAATTTTGGGAATTAATGTACAGGGTGTTGACAATCTTTTTTATTATAGCATTCATATTATGTAAATATCTTTAAATATCCCAAAAACCAAAGCTTGTGAAACATATCCCTTATAATAAATGCCTTATTTTGTATCCAAGAATCCAAAAATTAAATAAAATACCGGGTGTTCCATATGAAAAAATATAAATTTGGTGTGGATCTTAATTCTGACATACCCTGTACACTTCAAAATAATTTTAAATTATGCACATTGCCTTTCCATGTTATATACCCTAATATATATTTTATTCCTACATCTTTCCGTTTTCGTATAATCAACCGAGGCGAATGAGTAAAAAATCTGTTTACTAAAATACAAAAAATAGCAAAGTTTAGATTCAAATTTCTATAATAGTTTATACAGTAGTAGTTTCTACCAGTATTAATAATACAACTTACAGTACTACAAAAACCGACCTCTCATCAAAATTAGTTGTAAATTTTTTCATGTTGTTATTTTTCAGAGTCGGCAGTACCTGAATATATGGACTCCAGCCGAGAAAGAAACGTTTAAAGAAAAATTTATTCAGCATCCTAAAAACTTTTATCAAATAAGTCAAGCGTTAGGCGAGCGAAAATCCGTGTCCGAGTGCGTCCATTTTTATTATTTGAGTAAGAAAACGGAAAATTACAAACAACTACTGAGAAAGAACAAGAGGGACAAATTTCGTGAGAGAATGAAAGCGAGTCGGCAGAATCATCAGAACGTGAACAATAGTGCCAACTTACCTATAGTGGATACCTTAACAACAGGTGAGATAATTACTAAATTAGGTAAAAAAGGATAGGTATAGGGACTAAAATTAGGCTAAATAGGAAAACTATTTTTATATAGGAAAACCAATAAAAGCTTGACGAATGCAGGTCTTAATGTTCCCTTTGGATAAAAAGATTAATGAAGGAGCATATCAGAAATCTTAGATCGATAAAAATGGCCGACTTAAATTCTGGTTTATTTTATTCAAACCTTGTAAAAATATGATGTAGAGTATACTCAATAATTTGTTGTTTTCATTTAGGTTGTGAATAAATGTTGGTAGTTATTATAATTGTTATAAAAATATATAATTCTAATAAAAATAGATAAGTTATAATAATTATTTATTACAAATATCCGATACGCTACTGGCGTTCTTTGACATCTAATCTTTGACAACTAGTAAATAAAAGCAAAAAATGCAAGAAAAAATATATGATTAGTTAATTTTAAGTGAATTTCATAGATGATAGGTTTACTACAAGTATGTGTGTGTATATTATACAGGGTTGTTCACCACATACGACACGGAGTATTGTAGCTAAACGATTAGATTTTTACAAATTGTAAGTTTTGGGTTCGTTGAAAGACTATTAGAGCTACAATTTAAAAATATTTTTATAAAATACAGAGTGTCCCAAATAAAAAATATTAAAGTTGTATTTTTTTAAATGGAACACCCTGTATATTATTACATTTTTAGTTTCTACAATTAAAGGTAAATTTGATTAAGGTTTACTACACTTAAACCTTACGGTTTTTTAAATATCTTCAATTTTGTGAAATTGCAGTAAAAATTTTAAGGCTTCATTTCTCCGAGGGTATCAAAGTTTTTAATACTAAATATTTAATGATGTCTGTTTATTGATCATTGTGTTGCAATAATAAAAATAATACTACCTCATACAGAGTGTCTAAAAATTTATGTTAAATTATTTCTAGCTTTAAACGGCAATAACTTGTTTAATTTAAATGGAACGCCCTGTATATTTTAGGAGAATCAAATGCACAAGTTAATTGTCTATCAAATTGTATTATACCACTTTACCTATCCGTTCAAGTTTTCGTAGAAAATGCATTTTCTTATAATTTAGACCTCATTTATCAATATACCCATGGAATTGACATTTTAGATTGTTTTTAAAGCAACAAATGTACAAAATGTACAGGCTAGTAATATTATCGTTTTTAGCGAAATGATAATATTACTAGCCCATTTGTATGTAAAAAGAAAACTATTTAAATCTTTATAAAAGAGTATACCATTAATTAAATATACCACCATTATTTCCGCCCAAATACTAATTAATTACATACTTAATTATGTTCGTTAATAAATTATTCTAAATAAATGTGGATTTGAATCAGAAATCAATATATTAATAAGTTATGAAAATGAATGTCTCTGTTGTTATAAATAAGAATTTGTCAAAAAATGGAATATCATTTTTAAGCTGTTACTTTTTACTACACTGTCTAATACACATACAAAATTCAGTTTTTTAGTATTTGGACCAATTATTATTAATCAACGCAAACAGTCAATTAATGTAGTTTGAATACTGGAATCATATTAATTGGTCCTCTTTAACAAATATTTAAACAGTTTTTTTATTTCAATGAAATAAACAAACTATATCGACAATATTAGTATCTGTACTCTTTAAAAATTTGGTACATCTTTAAAAAGAATCTAAAATGTCAGTATTCCATGGGTATATTGATCAATGAGTTTTAAATTACAAGAAAATACATTTTGTACGGAAACTTGAAGAGATAGGTAAAAAATGGTATAATACAATTTGATAGACAATTAAATTGTGCATCTGATTCTCATAAAATATACAGGGTGTTCAATTTAAATTAAACAAGTTATTTTGACACTCTGTATAAGGTAGTATAATTTTTATTATTGCAACACAATAACTGATCAATAAATAAACTTTAGTAAATATTTAGTATTAAAAACTTTGATACCTTTGAAGAAATGAAGCCTTAAAATTTTGACTGCAATTTCACAAAATTGAAAATATTTCGAAAACGGTAAGATTAAAGTGCGGTAAACTTACAATTTCCTTCTAGATTTGCTACATTTAAACAACTATCAGAAGTAGAATAAATAATAAATAACATAAAATAAGTTCATTAAAGACTGACAAATCCACAAAATTTCAAATCAAATCTGTCAAATGTATCATCAACCAGAACTGTCAAAGATCCCCATCCTAGAGTCCTCATTCCGTCGACCATGCATGAATACACGGAGAGCATTATACTCCATTCTTAATCTTTTTATTCAAAAGCAAATCCACAAAATTCTATTTTCCCTATTGAAAGTTGACTGTTTCAAAATTTTATATGTTACAACAAAAATTCTCACGAAACAACCACACTTGTATGTTCTACACCTATTTTGTTAAGCATTATCAACTTCATACAAATTAATTTTAAATCAGTCTTTTAACTCACACAACACTGACCGTTTATATATTTTTTAGGAGTAACAACTAGGTTGCAACGCGAGCAACAACAGCGAACAGGAGGTGCGGCGAGAACAGCCGAGGCTCCAACAGCTGCGGCGGCTGCAGTAACGGCCGACGCTGCCAATTCTGGGAATTCTAATTCTCCACCGATACCTTTAGGAACCACGGCAACACCAAGTCCTCGGAATGCCGGAGGAACGACAACCACGAATACCGTTACATCTTGTGCTAGTGGTACGTTGACGAGTACGAGTACGGCGTTGACGGGGGACTGGATGAACACCAAGAGTTCAGTTAGTCAGGTATTGTACAATTTTATGGAAATTATGTTGCATCTAAAGGCGGAAATGGACTTGAGCCGAGCGTTATATAGTTCGTCTAGAAAGTATCCAGAAAAAAGAAAGCAAAATTACAATAATTATCGATATACCGGGTGCGTCTCAAAAGTGCCTCACCCTTATAACTTTTTTATTTTTTTTAGATAAAAAACGAGATTTGGTATGTTAGTAGAATATGACATAAATTAGGATTGATTGGTGTATTCATTTATTTTTGATGACTTCCGGTTTCTCCGGAAATGACTATAACTTTTCATTTTTAAACCCTCTGTATTTTTTTACTTTATTTGATAGAAAATGACATTCTGAATAGAATGACATATCATGTCAACTTTTGACATTCTCGCTTAATAAAAAATTGTATTTTAAAATTCAATCTAGAGTACCATGGCTATGTTAAAAACACTAATTCTTCATCAAGGAGCCTTGGAAAAATAGATTTGATCGTCTAATGTTTTTAGTGTCTTGTCCTAGCCAGTTAGAAAATGTTCAAATCGTATTTTTAATAACATCTCAATTTTTTCAAATGGAACGAGGGTGGCTCATTATCATATTTGGAAAAAACATTTTTTTATGAATAATTTCATACCACACGCTTGGTATTTCAAGTCAAATTTTCGTTACGAACCGCAAGTTATAGTTTCAAATAAACCATATGCGAAAATGTCAAAAGTTGACATATATGATATGTCATTCTATTCAGAGTGACATTTTCTATTGAATAATGTAAAAAAATACCGGGGTGCCATTTAAAAATCAAAAGTTGTAGTAATTTCCGGTGAAACAGGAAGTAACCAAAGAAAAATTGAATACGTCAATCAATCCAAATGTATGTCATATACCAACATACCAAATATCGTTTTTTTTACTAAAAAAAAAATAGTTATAGGGGTGAGCTACTTTTGAGACGCACCCGGTATATTTATAGGACGAGTTAAAAATATTATCACAAAGTATTAATTTTATTTACTTATACAACCTCCATCTAACTCCTAACACTAAACTAAACGTCCAGGTACACCCCGAAACTAGGTCCACACTAGGGATGTACGATTCGAATCGATTTTAATCGAAGATCGATCTTTTTACCCAAAAAATCGATTAAAATCGATCGATTTTTATCAAACGATCTTTTAGTAAAATCGATCTTTTTTTCAAAATCGAAGATCGATTTTATTTATACAGTTTAACAGGTTTATCTATTTGTTAGAATAAGAAGAAACTAAGAAACACTCTAGTGTTGCTTGAATATTTGTGTATAATGCATCCCTAATAAAACGCCATCTAGCAATGAATTGAAAATTAAGTGCAAGTGCTCGCTGCCGCATGCGCCGATGTGTGTTATGATCACTTTGATCTCAGGTGTTAAATTTTTGTCGGTGATTCCCATATTTTTATATGTTAGATAACGTAGAATATTCTTTGATTTTAGCTTCTTCCCAACCAACTGATATATCAAAATCACAGAATTTACTGGTACATTCTGTGTCAAAATCATCATAAGCATGCAAAAAGGCGAACAAAACAAAAGGCTAGTTTAACACTGTCAAGTATTTTTAATTTCACAAGTATGTCTCGGTTTGTGGTTATTTCTGTTTCAGTTTAGGGTGACTGATTCAGTTTTAATTTTAATTGTGTTAATAAACGGTTTTACGATTTTTACGTATCTAATTTTTTTTTTTTGATTATATCCTATTTTTATTATACCAGTATACTATAAGTCTGTCCAACGAGAAGATCCTTGACAGTGATAGATGTGTCTGTCATTTTAATTTCAAAGTAGTTTATTTTATTTTACAAAGAAATAAGTTGGTACAACTGGAGCGCATAGCAGGAAATTAATTTATGTATTTAAAATTTAACTGACAAGTAACTTCAAAATATTGTGAATAAAACTGTATGAAACTGAAAAAATGTAATCGAGTTATTTTATTTAATAAAAAACGGTATGTGTTAATACAAAACAAACAAGAACCAAGACACCATATACCAAAAAAAATATAAAAAAAGAACTATTTCTTTCTTTCAAGCTTTATGAAACTTCCCGCATTTATGATTTTATTTATCAATATAACTTATGTACAAATACAAATTTGTAATATTCCGCAAGAATAAATAAAACAACATAAATAAAACAAACTATTTTATTAATAATAACACTTACCAAATTTTATACCTCACATGTTGATTAATTAACTTTAATCTTAATTTTTTTAAACCAGTACCAAATCTGTTAGCCAATTGGCGAATTCCTAGGCGCGGATTCTGTCGTCCTAATGCTACTAAAGCGTTTAAATTGTTTTCGCGAATCTTACGCGGTCATCCTGAAACTGGTCCATGCTTTATCCTCTTTATTGTTTCATATACGACACTTTTTCCGAGTTCAGTCAATTGCACTAATTTTTTAACGTTTCGAACACCTTTTCTATACAAATATTCCACCATTTTTTTTACTTGCGACATTATTTCTCAAATCTTAAGCCGGTTTACAATCAACAATATTTGACAGATGGTGTTGCCATGCGATTTTGGTCATAGCCTACTCTCGGCACAACCTACCTGATGGATTACTGTTGTCTTAGAGTGTTACAGAAGAAAAAAAAATACATTAAAATTAGGAAAAATATAAAATTCATGATACTTTCTAGACGGACTATAGTAGAATGTAGAATGAGTAAGAGAGGGGGTTAATCACTGCGACCTTAAAGATATGTTGTTCCTCTTTCTTGAGTTATAGCTCATCATACAGTCTATAACTAGTATAGTTATAACTCATCATACATGGGGATCTTCCTGTTGTATGGGGGGAGAAGGTATTTCCCATCCTTCTCTGACAACAGATGTTTATCCGCCGAGGAGTGGGCATCTATCTCCTACGAGGGTATACAACCTTCCAAGGTTGGGGTTTAGCCCTCTGTGTCCTTCACAGTCGAGGAGCTTGTCTCCGGCTAGGTACTCGTGAAGTGGAGGCTGGAGTATCTGTCTCCATTTTCTCCACCTCTTTAACTTGGTCTCTTCTTAGACCTGATACCGGTGTTGTCCCAAATCTATAAAAGAGGATAAAATAGCAGGTTAGTCGTGACTGACTAAGTTAAGAAAAAACTCAAAATTTAAGTGAAGATGCAGTCAATAATCACCACATAGGCTAATAAAACTACTTTTTCAAATTTGTCAAGCTTTCGAGAATTTTATTCCCATCATCAGGACAGTTTCTAAAATATAAAAAAGGCATTAAAATTTTAAAATTGTATAACAGAAAAAACGACTTACGACTGAGCCAATTAGCAAAAAAAACATCCTTTGTACAAAAAGGCCTTAAAAACTAGCATCGTATAACATTGGAATACAAGGACATTTCCTTTATAAAATATTAAAATACATATCCAACAATATTACTTTTATTTTAAACACAAACAAAAAGATATTTTAAAAATTTTAATTTTTACAATGTTATTTCGAGCTCGATCAAACAGTGATTGTTCAACAAAATACCAATGAACTGAAAATTCCAGAACTCTCCTTATCAACAGATTTTTTTCCTTTTTTTTTCTACCATAATGACATTTACTTCTTGTACTGCTCTTTTTTATACAACCCAACAACCATCCACACTTAAAAACTTTAAAAATATATTTATTGAATTTATTTTACACTATTGAGGCTAAAAAAATTTTTGAAACTTGTAGAATTACTTAACACATCTTTTTTATAACCACGGAAAGGCATGCTGGTATGCAACCAACATCACAAGGCTATTCTATACGGAGAGCAAAAAAATGTTTTAATCTTTACAAAACCTTCTCCTTATTTTACTTTGTAACATTATGGAAAGAGAAAAAACAAAAAAAGGAAAAAATACATTTCAATACTATAAATAATGACAATTATATAAGATCTTCTTCCCTTTTACCCTTGAGTGAAAGGAAACAACGTGTACCACTGAGCAAGACATGTCAAGTTAACCAGAAAAAAGAATGAAAAACAGAAAAGAAAAAGAGAACGATTATGTGTAAACTGATTAAATTAAAAAAAATAAAAAAATTTTTTTGGCTCTCCGTATAGAATAGCCTTGTGATGTTGGTTGCATACCAGCATGCCTTTCCGTGGTTATAAAAAAGATGTGTTAAGTAATTCTACAAGTTTCAAAAAATTTTTTTTAGCCTCAATAGTGTAAAATAAATTCAATGAATATATTTTTAAAGTTTTTAACCGTGGATGATTGTTGGGTTGTATAAAAAAGAGCAGTACAAGAAGTAAATGTCATTATGGTAGAAAAAAAAAGGAAAAAAATCTGTTGATAAGGAGAGAATTTTCAGTTAATTGGTATTTTATTGAACAGTCACTGTTTGATCGAGCTCGAAATAACAATGGTCGCGTTCATCAGGACAAGTTGATCAGTGAGCGATGTACCATCGATTGGTTGTCCTGCTGAACGTGCTTTTTAGATCAAAATCATAAGTAATGCATATTAAATTGTTTTCACCCATTTTTGGCACAAATCGAGGGGATTAGTCAACCGAGAACAATAAACAAAATGCTTTGTTTTCGTTTTCCAAAACATTTGTGACATTTGGCGTATGTGACGTTTAATCCATCATGCATCGGTAGCGTAGCGTATTTTAAATCTGATGGAAAAAATGGCGACTGATCCCAGAGCGCTCACAACTAATCGGCGCGTTCAGCAGAAAATTAGTGATCGCTGCGGTAGCGCTACGTCCTGATGAACGCGACCAATGTAAAAATTAAAATTTTTAAAATATTTTTGTTTGTGTTTAAAAGAAAAGTAATATCGTTGGATATGTATTTTAATATTTTATAAAGGAAATGTCCTTGTAGTCCAATGTTATACGATGCTAGTTTTTAAGGCCTTTTTGTGCAAAGGATGTTTTTTGCTAATTGACTCAGTCGTAAGTCGTTTTATCTGTTATACAATTTTAAAATTTTAATGCCTTTTTTATTTATACATTTTAGAAACTGTCCTGATGATGGGAATAAAATTCTCGAAAGCTTGACAAATTTGAAAAAGTAGTTTTATTAGGCTATGTGGTGATTATTGACTGCATCCTCACTTAAATTTTGAGATTTTTCTTAAAAGAGGATATATCACTCTTTCTCTATTGCCTCCTTAGATTTGAGGTCAATTACACTGCAAGGGTTAGTCGGTCCACTACTCGGTACCTATAATATTTTTGCATGGTTTTACAAAATAATGTAATTTTACAAAGTTGTTTAGATATATTTAGAGCGTCCACACAAGGGTCGTCTGGCTTTCGACACCGAAGCGTCTTGAACTCTGAGCGAATCTCCCTCCACTATACCGTGGTGGGTAAATAATAGCACAGATTAGGTATCCTATAAGTATACAGATAAAAATCTTGTCTTTAATTCATGGTACGAAAATTGTTTCTTATGACAATGAGCAGACGAGTAAAATTTCCTGTGCACAAAAATAAAGTCGTGGGCGTGCTATGTGCGCAAGTTAGTAACCTAACTAGTGCGCGGCTTCCAAAATTGGAACCTCGAAAAACAATGCTTTTGACGATAAGTTTATAATCTGTATAATCTGTGATAATAGTATCAATCAATTCGACTCCGCGTCTACAACCAAACGACCCATTCGTTTCAAATTTTAAACGCTTCCGCTTCGAGTTTTAGACGACCCGTGTGCGCAAGTGATTATTACCAAGCGATATTATTTTTATAAATAGCATTGCATGTTTACAAATCAAATTTAAACCATAAATAAAATTTTGTAGGAAAAATTAATCTTTCTTCTTTTCGACTTTATTAAACGCAATGCTATAATTAATAAATATTCCAGTGTGTACGCTAGGTTTTAGTCTTTCCGTCTTGTCTAACAGGTAATACGGTAAAGTAAGATCTTAAAGGTTGTGAGATCTGGTTAAAAGAAACATTCTATTTCTTTATTTTCAGGTGTCATCAAGTTCCATTCTAGCAACGGCAACATCGTCTGTGATTTCAATTTCTGTTGCATCTTCACTCTCTTCAACGTTAACTACCCTAACTAATACCACCTCGACTACCAACAGTTCGGGTTTTGCACCTACAACGATGGATACTTCGAGTGCCGGCGAAGAAGGTTTAAAAGACGACAAATCGGTAGTGAAGTTCAACGACTTCAATTCTTTTGAGGATTATAATAACAGGTTGATATAAATAATTTCGAGTTTTGTGAGCTATTTAACAACTAGATTTATCATGCATTTATTATAAAAAGAACGAGGAAATTGTGTAACATTTTAAAATCGAGAAAATTAATGTAGATTTTTTATACTCTGCATTTATAACCATTTAATCATGTAGGTTTTCCATTTTTTTTAAATAAAATTTTACATATATTATTAATGTCATCGATCGTCATTTCCAAGCCAACTGGGCGCCGTTTTTTTGATCATACTGTATTTTTAATTGTTTTTTAATCATTTCACATTATTATCGTAAAGTAGTCTGTAGCTTTGGTCTAGCTTGTAGCGAATTATTGTGAATAATATTATTAGATTTTGTATTTATTATTGTGTTTTAGGAAAAAGTTTTTTGGAGACAACAGCAATCCATTGACAGACCCCTCCAGTGAGAAAGATGGTGAAAGGTTAAATATGGAACAGAAAGATAGAGGCAGCCAATTTGGAAAAGATGACCCTGAAAATGCGAATGGAACTAACGAGGCTAACTGGTAAATTGACATTACTAATTAAATATCCACAAAAAAAATACACCACAAATGTAATTTCTCCAAATAATATAAAACAGAAGCATTCTAGGGCGTAAGTATTAATGATGTAACGAATATCAATTTTCGCGATTGTGGATTTGATTATCAAATCGATATCCATCGATATTCGCGAAGTCTAATTGTTAAAAAATATATATGTTACTGTAAATGTCCGAAATGCGGTAAAACCTAGAATAAGCACGTTAAAATCTAGGATAAGCGCGCTAAACCTAGGATTTACCAATAAATTAACACCCTCCAAATAACCACGCTAACTAACTCAGTGACATATACAATACTAGTTGAAGCCTGGCACATCCGCCATTACATCAGGAAAAAAAAATACTTTTTGTTTTTTAATTAAATGGTAAAAACAAAAAATCCGGCGACGACAGTTTATAGAAGAGCCAATTAGCTATCTTTTAGTAGAAAAATCAACTTTCTAGAGCAAGTAGTTACTTCAGTAGAGACGACACAGAGAAACATTAGCATTTTATATAATATGTAGATTACGAATATTAAGTAATAAAGAACTTTTGAATAATTGTTAATTACATAATTATATTCTAGAAAAATTTTCTATTCAATTTTCTTTTGATTCGTATTCTATTCAAGAGGTTTATTAGTGTAATACCTTGCTTGTTACTAGGAATTTTAGATATTCAAGATTACTTTTTAAGTTTAAAATAAAAATGTATTGTGTTTTTGAAACAGCCGTATGTTGATCAAGATAACTTATGCTTTCACTAACACTAATTTCATTCTCGACTTAAGACTATTTCCGAACAATAGTGTATTCTGTAAGGACTAAAAATTAAACTTTTTTTGACGAGGTTGTACGTTTGATAGACTAGCGTAAAGCTAGTCCGACGTTACAGGGAGGCACAAAAAGTGCATTTTTACTCCGGGTAGAACATACCGTCGGCTTTATGACGAAAAGGCGTATCTCGATTTTTGCTTCTTTTCAGGAGAGCAATTTAAAGAAAATCACTTACTTTATTTGGCCAATAAATGTAAAGTCTTTAATTTTTTAATAGTGTTTTTGTATTAACACTTAAACGGAGACATTGTGGAAACGTTCTGAAGATAAATTGAGCGTAAATTCTAATAAATAATTTATTTTTAGTTGTTTAATAGAGATAGGCCTTTTTGTTATAATAATAATAAATTTATTTCCGAACGAATAGTATACATACGCCCATGTAAAATAAATTTAAAAATGACGGTAATGTGTTCTTAATAAGAAAAAATATAATACAATATTCAAATTATGGAATACTTACAAGAAAATACAATACATACCTAATTACAAGAAAAAATCTGAAAATCGCCAAAAAATCAGAAACAAATATTTTAAAATACTTTTATTCACGTTGGATTAGATCAACTGAAAACAAAGACAATTTTCATGCCAGAAGCAAGGACAATAATCGATTAAAATACTCTTATCTAGCTTATTTTAATAATATTGTTTTTTATTCAAAAATGCATTTTTTAACTAATATATTTTTAGTAATTATTTAGTTAATTGAGGGCATTAATACAGGGCATTTAAACTCACGGTCCATATAATAAAAACCAAACTAAACATAAACAAAACATGTTTCTTCATTCGTTTTTTTTTATACAAATAACTGTGGAGTAACAGTTCCTGTTTTCCTTGTTCAATGATAACAAATTCGACTTCCATTCTACGTGTTTATGCTGGATAATGATAGGCAATGGCCTGACAATGATAATGAGATGAAAATTATTGTATTTTTCGGGCAAGTTTTTGGTTCGCTAAAATGTTCTTAGAGGAATTATGATTTCGGGAAATTTTCCATTAGGGCAATTTTCGTTTCGTTTTTGCTTTCGATCAAAATTTTCCTTTTATTCGGCCATTTATTCTCGGACAATCTTTTGCATACCTGATACAGCTATGTGTAGAGTCTAGCTCATTCTAACAATGGTTTTTGGCAAAAAACAGACTCTAAAATCACACTGTAAAAGAGAGCTGCTGCCATGATAGAACTTTTATTTTGTCCCAAGCAACCGTCAGAAAATAATTAGGTAGAATGGTGTGATTTTCTCTCGCATGCATTTTCATAACTTAAAACATAAGGATCTATCTCAAATTTCATCTTTCTTGTAGTATAACAATTGGTATAACAATAATTGATATAACAAAGAGCCCTATCTCAACATACGTCTCTTCGTCATAACGAAGAATTGTAGTATTTGAGATGGGGCAAATTTTTAAACTAATATAAAATGGAAAAGGTACAATATTGAGATGCGCAAATTCGCTATGTTAAAATATGACCCATTGGGCATGTTATGACGTTGATATCTCAAAATCGCCAAAAATCGAGATACGCCTTTTCGTCATAAAGCCGACAATACTATATTTTTTCAAACATTACAAATAACTTTTTAATCAATTTCAAACGTTGCAAATAATGTAAAAAGTAGTATCTTGTAAGTAATCGAGCAACAATTTGTACACTCGTTAAAATTGGCACTTAATATCAGGTAAATCCTTTGAATAAGAAGACTAAGGAAGGAGCATATCAAAAATCTTAGGTACACCGCGATGGGCCTCAAATATGGCCGACTTAAATTCCGGTTTATCAGTGTCGTTCTAATTTTATTTAAAAAATGTAAAACTATGATGTAGGGTAGACGTGGGGTAGACTCAATAATTTGTTGTTTTATTTTACGTTGTGAATAAATGTTGGTAGTTATTAAAATTGTTATAAAAATATATAATTCTAATAAAAATAGATAAGTTATAATAAGTATTTATTAACACAAACATCCGATACGCTACTGAAGCAAGTAAGTCAAATTAACGTATCTAAATTCTGTGACATCTAATCTTTGACAAGTAATAAATAAAAGCTAAAATGCAAGAAAAATATATAATTTAGTTAATTTAAGTGAATTTCATAAATGATCGGTTTACTACACGTATGTATATTATATAGCCACTTACTAGCGAAAAGTTGTTCCATTATTTCACTCAATTTTTGCCGAGATCTACCGCACGCTACACAACCAACTATTTTAGAGTCTTTTTCGATAAATCGCGATAGTGTCACTGTTCAACTATCAGTAGTAGAATAAATAATAAATAACATAAAATAAGCTCCGTAAAGACGGACAAATCCACAAAATTTCAAATCAAATTCAAATGTGTCAAATGCATCGTCAAACAGAACTGTCAAGGATCTCCACCCTAGAGTGCTTTTATGGCGCTTTTTCCGCCCACCATGCATGAATACATGGATAGCATTATGCTCCTTCCTTAGTCTTCTTATTCAAAGGGTAAATCATATATTTTTGTACTTTTGTGCTTAGGCGTAAAAGTGCTTTACTTTTATGCCTAGGCGTTGAAATGAGAAAAATTAATATTCTTGTGACATTTGAAAAAAAAATCCTTTTGATCGGAAGCGAGCGACTTTCTTGCGGAATATATATTGGTGACCGATGTGGAAAAATGCACGCGCCGTAGAATTGTTAATGTTATCACTAGGGGGCAGTTACGAAGATTTAGCCATTTAGGATAGGACTTTAATTGGAATTAAGTCATAATTATTTGGAAATCCGATTTAAATAATGTTTTCTATTAAAATCAAAAAAATCAGATTTAAATAAGAAAAATTCAGATTTTTCTTTTAAATCACGATTTTTTCCAATCCTGATCGTGATTGTTCATTCTTTTCGATACCTGACAAAAATAATTTAATTATTTCTTTTTATTGCGGACTTTTGAACAGCCGCTGTATATTAAAATCAATTTCTAAAATTAAGTGTCTGCTATCATAACAAACTTGTTAACCAATTCATTAATTGAAACATAAAAAATGCGTATTATTTCTCTTGACACATTATTTAAACATAAAAGGGCATTTTTAACACTCAACAAACAGTCCTCCAACACACATATGGGGGAGTTCGTTTTCAAACAATTTCAATTTAATCACAGAGTATCAATTTGCAAAATTGATATGTAAGTTTATTCGATAATTGTGCGCTCAGCATTAATGTTACGGAGGGGAAATGCCGAGAACTGAATTGGGAAAATCCAGGAAAGGATTAAACCATTTTTATCTTTTTTAAATTTATTTTACTTAACTGTAGTTTTATAATTGATGATGTTTTGTTTAGTGCTAATTATGTTTATAAAGATACATTTAAATCGGTATTGTAGGTAGGAATAGTCTTCTTAGAGATTATTGTTACATTTTGTGAGGTTCAAGTTAACGTCCCCTTTCTGCTGCAATAGCTAAACTGAACGAGACCTACTTTGTTTACGCGGAATCCGAACGGCGGTCCTCGGCCATATCATGGTCGATGGCCTACCGACTTAATTAACTCTTACTCACGAGATATCCGATCTCATCCGGCCTCGAACCGGCGTGAATGAGCAGTGCGTATCAATAGATTTTACACTTTTCCCTTGGACAACAGCACGATGCAAAGTTTCGAACCGGTCACCCGTCCATCCACTAGCATCGCCTTGCGTCGCTTAACTTCGGTGTTCTAATGGGAACCGGTGTTTCGACGTAGCTGGGCCGTTGCCCTTATTCCATTTTGATATTGTAAAAAAGTAAAGTAAAGATTTCAGTTAACGTCTCCTTTTTGCTGCCAGGGCTAATCTGGACGGGGCGTACTGTTATTAATGTTAAAAAAGAACCAAGTTTTTGGTTACTTGTAACCAAGAAGAAAATCTACATGGTTTACTGTGTTTTCTATTGCAGATTTGTTTCTCTGTTTGTTCTGCAGAATAGAAGTCTCCTTTATCTATTGTTTCGAAAATTATATTTTCCCAAGCAGCCAACACAATACTTTTAGATCTTTCACTAATTCCTATGTTTACCCTTGTTTTAGGCTAATACCTTTCTTTTTTATAATAGTTTGTAGTTTTAATATGAAAAGCACGCGGCTAAGCAAACATTTAAAGAGAATCGACAGAAAATGGACATACATATAAAAGGAATTGTCGCTTGGATCCTTTTAGACAAATTCAAAATATTCCTAAACAGTGGTGGTGCTTAGGATCCTATTCAATAGATGTCACTGAAACACCTAATTGTAGCGTGGATCCCCCCCCCCCCCAAACCACATATACATTGAACACTGCTCTGTCGGTTGATGCCTTTTACTCAGTTTTCGTAATTTGGCGCTTGGTTCCTTTTCGTTTAACATCATCCAAATATACAATGCCAAGGATAAAGACTCCGGCGTCAATTTTTAATATTAATTGTGTAAAATTACATCAAAAATTAACCTGTTGCTGTGGAATATAGGTCTATATTTAAAAAATAAATTATCAAGATCGCATTTTTAGGTTAAATTTTCAATTTCAACTTTATTTGAATAGCATATTATTTAACTTTACATAAACATATAAGTTAGCTTAGTTATTAGTTTTAAAAAATAACTCATATCATTGTAAAAAACATGTAATAAATGTTGACTGTAGGGATACCAAGAGAATGAGTAGCTCTTCCATTTTTGATATTATATTCAGTTTGTTCATTAATCACACAAGGGGAGCGTGTAACCAATTTCACAAACAATACAATATCAAATAATTAATACGTATAGAAGCTTCACTCTACCGAGAAACGACTATCGATTAAAATTTCATTAATTTAAAAAATAAATAACTCTTTCGATTATAGTATTTTAAAAATTTTAGATTTGATATTTTTTTAACAAATTAATAAAAAAGTTTTATACATTGTGAATTGCTAGAAATTATTAAGTATAGGAAAATATATTTTAGAAACAGAAATGTTTAAGAAAGCTTGATAACTAAATTTAAAATCGAATTTTATTGGCTGCAGTCCACCCCTGTTAGAAATGTAAATTCTATATCCACTTTATAGAGAGATCATAATGAAAATTATGTTTGTGTGGATCAATCGCTAGATGCAATCGGAAAGATTGGCTGGTAAATTTTAAAATGCCGATATCCGTTTTTGAAATTAAATTTCTAGTTAAGACAAATTCAATCTTTTAATGAATTTCAAACAGGTTTTCAAATAAAATTGCAGTTAGAGAAAAAAATGTTATAGTGGTGAATTTTAACAGTGCGTCGGGCATATAAACTTTCTAAGTGCAGTTTTAAACTATACAGGGCGAGTCTTAAATAAGTGCAAATATTTTCAGGGCCGGTAGATCTCGATAAATGAAAATTTTATTGGTAGAATTTAAAGACTGATTGGTTAGAAAATAACGCAGTTTTTAAATTTATTGCATTTTCATGCCTCTGTTTATCGGATATACATTGGTGTCATTTTATATTTTCGTTTCCATAACGATTTTGCTATTTTACTTATATTTTTACTTAAGTTTTTCGCCAATAATACATGTAATAATGTTGATACTGTTGATAGGAATGACAGGTCTAAATGTCAAAACTGTCAAATTTCGGAACGAACTTTCGGATGCATGTGACTCCGGCTTAACGCTTGATTTTCATGCATCCGTTGTCCGACGATACGTTGATACGATATTAAGTTCATTGGTTGTATTTAAAGGCTTCGATTGGTTAACCGTTTCTAACCAACCGAAGTCTTTAAATTAAACCAATAAAATTAATATCGTATCATCGTATCGTCGGACAACGGTTGCATGAAAATCAAGCTTAACGGATGCATGAAAATCAAGAAGCTCAACGGACCCGTTCATACGATAACGGACGTTTTGACACTTTTTTGACAAATTTAATCTTACCTTAATAAAAATATAAGTAAAATAGCAAAATCGTTATGGAAACGAAAATATAAAATGACACCAACGTATATCCGATAAACGGATGCATGAAAATGCAATAAATTTATAAACTGTGTTATTTTCTAACCAATCAAAGTCTTTAAATTCTACCAATAAAATTAATATCGTATCAACGTATCGTCGGACAACGGATGCATGAAAATCAAACTTAAGGCGTATTTCAGTAAAATTAGTTTCTTTGTACAGGGTGTCTAAAGAAAGTATAATTAGGTGAGGGTAGATTTTTTAAATGGAACATTCTGTGTATTGTATTTTTCGTTTTTTTCCTGATCAGTTTATATAATCTCAGGTTATAGTAAATTAATAAGTAATGTAGTATATACATTTTGCAGAATTTTATATAAACTATTGTAATAATTTAGTAAATTATACAAGGTGTTCAATATTCAATGTAAAACTTGCTAAAATTTAATAAAATAGCTTTTTTATTGAATTTTAAAGTTGTTCTAGCCTAACTAGGATATCATTCTAGTCTAACGCTTGGGTAAAGAATTAGATATTTATTTATGATTTATTCGTTTTCAGTGAAAATACCGCATCTACTCCTACTCCAGAATCGAAAAAGAAAAAAGAAAGAAGAAAAGACAAGGATAATGCTGTTGAAACGAGCGATGAGGAAGCTGCGTCTTTACAAGGTAAGGTAGTGAATCATATATGCAAGCAATATTTTTTAGTATCTCTTAGATTTCAGTTATGCAATTTACATAAAAACACTGATTATTCTATCTTTATGACTAGGTGAAATGACTGTCGTCATTTGTAATTGTTATTAGCAAATATATATAATATGCAAAATAAAACACTAATTCGCCATAATACAGTAAAATCTTGAGTTTAATCATCTGCTAAACGGAATACTACTTTTGAACAACAAGTGGTAGACAACTATAATAATGTTACTTATTTATTTATTTTTTTGTTGGACAGACTTCATCTATGTTCTTAGAGTATGTTAAATCAGAGAAATATAGTAACCTGTAACACTGGTGGTCTTATCATATACTAAAATTTTATATCATGATTAAAATGAATTGTGATGAATGAAATTATATAAATAATTTTATATTTTATTTATTGTACTTTAATGATAATATTTATTCAAATATTCATATACAATCTAACAATTAATTTCTAGTATTTACTGTTCCAATTTTATAATAAATAAATTCGAATATCTGAGCGTAAAATTTGAGCTACTCCTTTAATTTAGTTAATTACTAAGGAAATAATGGCATTATTTTTTATTTATCATATTCGTACATTCATTACTTTTAAACGATAAAAAGATCCAAAGATATTTTCCTGATAATTTTCGTGCCAGTTATAATTATTCCCAATGCAATTACTAAAATTGTTTACATATTTATCTTAACATTTTACTTTTTCTTTTATTAGTTTTATTGATCAATAACTCCGTTAAATTAAACGTATTTTTAACTGACACTAGACTAGTACATTAAATTTGATATGTTGGTACATTTGTATTATTATTAAATACAGTTTATGTCACTTCCTGTTCGTTTTCATTATGAATTGCTTCAACATCTATGGCACTACAGCTACTACTTTCGTCTCTGGAAGTAGTGTTTTCGTTGCCACTTTCGTGAGTCTTTCCATTTTTATCGAGAACTTCATCGGGGTGGCACATTTTTCTGTGTTTGTGGACAAAATAGTAACTGGGAAATTTGCTTCCGCAAGTTTTGCACGGATAATATTGTACATTCGTGTCCAAAAGCTTCACTTCTCTTTTAGATTCGACTTGAGTTACCTTGTCGATACTGGCTGGATACAAATGACGCCTAGCGTATTTCTGGTAGCAGTATTGGGATTTGAAAGTATGGTTACAGTAAACGCATGTAAAGACTTCGTTCGATTGGTTGTCGTTATTGAGCTTCTCCATAATGTTTTCGTAAATTGCTTTGTTCATCGCGCTGCTCCTACTCAGTTCTGTTATCTTAAACGATGGATTGAGACTTGTGTCGAAGTTTTCGGTATCTTGTAGACCATAGTTTTTCTTGACAACTCGATGAAAACGGACTGGGCCATCGCAGCATGCCACGTCGATGATAATCTTATCCAAACTACATAGAGACTCTGTTCTCTTCTTCCATATCGTTTTCGAAAGATTTTTCTTTTCAATTGTTTTTTCACTCTCATTGGTACTAGACTTTACTTTTTCTATTTTACCGGTCGATTCCGTAGTTAACGGATTATCAGTTTTTACGGCTTTAAACCGAGTGTCTTCGTTTTTTTTAAACATAATAAGTATAAAACTGTCTTTAAATATAATAATAATAAACATAAATGTGTTTTTATAGAAAGATAACACTGGTGGTTTGATCCATACTAAAATTTTATATCAAGATTAAAATGAAATGTGATGAATGAAATTATATAAATAATTTTGTATCATTTATTCTATATACACACTATATTAATAATATTTACTCAAATATTCATATACAATCTAACAATTAATTTCTAGTACTTACTGTTCCAATTTTATAACAAATAAATTCGAATATCTGAGCGTAAAATTTGAGCTACTCCTTTAATTTAGTTAATTACTAAGGAAATAATGGCATTATTTTTTATTTATCATATTCGTACATTCATTACTTTTAAACGATAAAAAGATCCAAAGATATTTTCCTGATAATTTTCGTGCCAGTTATAATTATTCCCAATGCAATTACTAAAATTGTTTACATATTTATCTTAACATTTTACTTTTTCTTTTATTAGTTTTATTGATCAATAACTCCGTTAAATTAAACGTATTTTTAACTGACACTAGGCTAGTACATTAAATATGATATGTTGGTACATTTGTATTATTATTAAATACAGTTTATGTCACTTCCTGTTCGTTTTCATTATGAATTGCTTCAACATCTATGGCACTACAGCTACTACTTTCGTCCCTGGAAGTAGTGTTTTCGTTGCCACTTTCGTGAGTCTTTCCGTTTTTATCGAGAACTTCATCGGCGTGGCACATTTTTCTGTGTTTGTGGACAAAATAGTAACTGGGAAATTTGCTTCCGCAAGTTTTGCACGGATAATATTGTACGTTCATGTCCAAAAGCTTCACTTCTCTTTTAGATTCGACTTGAGTTACTTTATCGATACTGGCTGGATATAAATGACGCCTAGCGTGTTTCTGATAGCAGTATTGGGATTTGAAAGTATGGTTACAGTAAACGCATGTAAAAACTTCGTTTGATTGGTTGTCGCTATTGAGCTTCTCCATAATGTTTTCGTTCATTGCTTTGTTCATCGCGCTGCTCCTACTCAGTTCTGTTATCTTAAACGATGGATTGGGACCTGTATCGAAGTTTTCGGTGTCTTGTACACCATAGTTTTTGTTGACAACTCGATGAAAACGGACTGGGCCATCGCAGCATGCCACGTCGATGATAATCTTATCCAAACTACATAGAGACTCCGTTCTCTTCTTACATATCGTTTTTGAAAGATTTTTCTTTTCGATTGTTTTTTCACTCTCATTGGTATTAGACTTTACTTTTTCAATTTTACTAGTCGATTCCGTAGTTAACGGATTATCAGTTCTTACGACTTTAAACGGAGTGTCTTCGCTTTTCGTTAAACATCCAAACGCATTTGGCGTGAAAATCTCCTGCATCTGTGGGGCCATCTTCCGACTGGCTATGGGTTTGATTACGTTCACCCTCTGGTGATCTGACGCGTGTTGATTTTGTTGCAACAAAAAGTTTCTACACAGCTCTAAAGCTCGAGGCATATGTAAGATGTGCGTAGCCAGTAGTATGTTGTAAATATTTCCAACGTTAAGATCCAAATATCCCGTATACATAAAAGTCAAAAGGGACGAAAATTCATCCACATTTACATTTGGTACGGCAATAGGTAAAAGATCTAAAACAAAAAAAAGTATTAAAATACTAAAACATATTATAATGGGTATATGGTACCTGAGTGATTGGCCAGAGCGGCTTTAAAAAATCCACTGTGAGTCGAGAGTACTCCTCTATGGGCGGAAAAGTGAGTCCTTGTTGGTCCAACTTGTAAAGTTACATCGGGTGCTTCTGGTACGTGTCCTGGCGTAGAAAGTGAAAGATTTAAAGGTACTGAAGTTTCAGGTAATGATGGTAAGACAGTACAGGGGTTTAAGGCAAGCCATGCGCGGTAAAGAGAGTACATGATGATCTGAAAGGAAACAATAACAGATCAAAAATTATTATTCCAAAAATTTTAGTTTACTTCTAAACTTAAAAACTGACTTTGTAGTTATTAGTTTATAATTTGCAAATTACGACGTTATAAGACAAGTAATTGAAAGTAAATTTTTATCAATATTTACTAGGAAAATGTTATGGGAGAGTTTTAAAAATTTAAATTTCTTGAAGATTTTATCTGGAATAAAACATGAAGCAGTAAATAGTATTTTTAGACGCATTACATAGAAACTTGACGTACAAGAAATGCTACTTTCCCTGTTTATTTTTATAGCTTTGAAAAATCTAATATTTAGAAACATTTCAGCATAACTTAATTAGATTTTTCAACGTACATTTTTTTGCTACAGAACACATATTATGTAGTACATATTTAAAATATACGTACTCGTATATTAAATTCTTGAAATATGCCAAAGTATAAAATATATTAAATATTTCCTCTAGCTTTTTTCACTTTGTACATTTATGTTACATTATTTTTTGTAATATAACACATTTGTTTGTATGAAATGTATCTGTATTTGTTTATTTTTTTTGCAATCTGAGAATGGTGCATTAATCGTAAATATAATTGTTTATATTTTGAGTCCTGATGGATATTATTAATAATATTTTGTATATTTTACTACACTAGTATAATACTTGAAAGATGCTCATTCAAGACTCTGATTATTCTTACCATTTAATTGAAAATAGTCATAATTTTGATACAAATTTTGAAATATTACATACTGAAAAGAAAGGTACCCAGACTGCCTACAATCACTAGAGATAAATACACAACTTAAAAATTTACACGTTTTATTAAACTGTCAATTAGACCTCAATAAAAGCCATTTGTTGAACCTTTTTTAAAAAAGTACATTTTTTGAACCTGAAGAAAAATAAAAGTAATAAAGAGTAAAAGTAGGCAGTGGAAATTTGCGAGTCTTGGTACTGTGTTAGCGAAACATGGTCGAAAATTTCTTAATGAAACTGTTTCAGTTTAGTGAGATTTAAGAAACATTTGTTTTATTTTTCTGATCATGGAGTTCTGTTAGTAACGGCAAAGTCAATTCAATTGCCAACGACAAATATTTTGATTTTAAGTTCTGTTCTTTTGCAATATTATCAGAAGTATTCTACAGACTTTTTTCGCTTTATTAATTTTATAACTATTTTTTCCAATAGAGAAATTCAAATATCATAAAAGAAATATCTTTCAAATGGACAAATTCTGAATTCAAAAATCTGTATTAAATGATATAGGTGATAGTGTCAATAACATTTTAATTATTAATAAGTTTTTTTAAGCTTGGTTATTAATTCTATTTGGCTTTATATTATCATTTTATTAATTTTAAACAAGATCGTCAAATGTAAGTCTTAAGGTATTAAAATCTGCCTCTCATCTTTATTTAATAGGGAATAAAGAAGTTAATTTTAGTTTTTTTTCTGTTTACTTTTTTAGTTTTATTATTTAGTTTTTTTCTGTTTACTTATTGAATCTAACAGTTTTCAAAAACAAATCAGAAATTAAAAAAAAATAAATAAAAAAATTCGTGATTTCAATCCTCTAATCTAATAATATACAGGGTCCGGCAATAGTACGTCGGGCATCTGTAGCTTCTAGAATAAAAAACTTGAGAATTTTATTCAAATGCAAACCTAAAATATGTACGAGGATGTATTGCAGGAAAATATTTTAATTTTTATGGAATGGCCCAAAAAAGTGTCAGTGGATAAGGATACTTTTTTTTGAAAGGAAGCCAAAAATGCAGTAATATACAGGGTGTTCCATTAAAAAAAAATCGTCCCGATCCACTCACACATTTTTGAATCACCCTATAGAACTTAAAATATTTTCCAGAAATACATCCTAGTACATAGTTTAGATTTGCACTTAAACAAAATTTCCAAGTTTTTTTTATTCTATGAGCTACAGATGCCCAACGCATTATTACCGGGCTCTTTATAAAGTCTATTGTATACTAAATAATACATATATGGATTTGTATTTTAAACAAAAATCATAGAAAATAATGTCTATATAGGCACCTTGAAAAAGACTTCGGTTTTACGCGACTAGAAAAAAAATTACTGAATAAAATAGTTATTTTTTGTAAATACCGCTGCGGTGATTCAACAGAGAGCAATTTGTCAGCGGTATTTTACTCAAAAAACAAATTTGCCTAACGGACAAAAAATGCTTAACGTTTCAATAATAATGTTTTGATGCTGACATGTTAAGCAGTAAAATACCGCAATATAATATATCCTTTGCTACCACTGGCAAATTGGTCTTCTTTGGATCAACGCAGCGATATTTACAAAAAATAACTATTTTATTTAGTAAATTTTCTTTTAGTGGCCAAAAACCCAAAAGTCTTTCTTGAATAAAAACTCACAGAATGATATCCCAAATAAAATACGTATATATATTTCTCCAAAGAATCTTATATGGGTATTTCGCCACTGCAAGAAAATCTACAAAATACAACAGTTCTACAATTTTTTGTAAACACTTCTTTGTAAACACTCTACAAACGGAAACTGCTTGTCAGAAGTTAGGTTTACAGATATACAAATTTGCTATTGTTCTTTAAAATCAAAGAAGCGATTGCCATACATTACTAAATCAATCTTCTTGACAGTCGCTTCTTTGATTTTAAAGAACATAACATAAATAAACGTAACATACATAAATTAAAAATAAACATACAGAGAGTTTGGGGCTTTTTGGTTTTACCTTATTAAGAAATTGTTATCAGATAGTAATTGTTAATTTTGAAGTTTAACTGGATATAATAACGTATCTGTTTTAAAAAACTAAAGTGTTCTCGAATAGTTGAATTTAAATATTTTAAATAGTTTTCTTTCTTTATTCTTTGTATTTTTTAGCTCCCGACATTCGACATCGGAAAGAGATAAACTATCCGAAACGTTAAGCATTTTTTTTCGTTAGGCAAATTTGTATATCTGTAAACCTAACGTCTAACAAGTAGTTTCCGTTTGGATTAACGCAGAAGTGTTTACAAAAAATAACTATTTTTATTTGTAGATTTTCTTGCAGTGGCGAAAATACCCATATAGGATTTTTTGGAGAAATGAATCCGCTACATAGGTATAGACATTTTTTACGTATATATTATCAGAGTTACCTACTTATCGAATACAGAAACCGGAAGTAACTTTTTATTCACCTCACGTGCGCCAAACACTCTGCACCTGGTGGCACAATTGAGCTCGCGAAGCGACGGCACGCGACTGAAGGCCGTTTTGATAAAGTGCCGCCACTTTATAACAACCGTCGTAAATTGAGAGCGGGCCGCACGATCAACCGCCGTCGCCACCCCACGCCCCTTTGGCGGCGGCGGCGGCGGCGGTGGTGGGGCTTAAATCGACGCGCGGATCATTGTAAATTCGGAATTGTTTGGATTATCCCGAAGGACCTTTTCAATTGGCTCCTCTTGAAGGGGACGCGCTGCATTGTTCTAGGATGGAGCGAGGAGGTTGTATGTTTTTTTTCTATGTCGGTTTCGGGAACTAATTAGACCATGTGGGGTTTGTGTGATGAATAGATTTGTTTCTGATAGTTTTGCACAAGAATTTTTCTAATTAACATTTTTTGTTAGTAGTTTTGAGCCTAAGATTATTTTTTTAGACTCAAGAATCTACAAAATAAAATTTTACTACTTCCTATTTATAATATATTAGCGTGAACCCGCGACTTCGTTCGCGTCGAATTATTAATCTTTGTAATGGTGATGATAAAGCAAAGCAATAATTGCCATTAACATACAAACTGGATAAATTTTTCTCACATTTATGTCAGCATGAGAAAAAACAATATGGCGATATTATTATATAACTTGGTAATATTTGAGGGGTAGTTTCATCTCGTTGGAATTTGACTTTCGAAAAATCCGTTTGCCAAAAATAAGCTTTTTACGTAAAGCAGTTTAAGCAGAATCGTGGTTAATCAATTAAATTACCCAACTTTTTGGAACACCCTGTATGATTTTAAAAAAAAAATCAAAATGTGTACAAAAACAAAATAAATTATGCGTGACCAAGCGTTTTCCCGAATGATTTACCGTTTTTTAAATAACAAATATTGTAATATTTGAGGGGCGTTTTCACCCTCTTGGAATTCGGGATTATAGAAACCCCTCCTTATCGAACCTCTACACCCCACAGTCAATCCGTTTGCCAAAAATCAGCTTTACACGTCAAGCAGTTTAAGCAGAATCGTGATTACTCAATGGTCATATTTCATGAAACACCCTGTATAAATTTTTAAAAAATCTTAAAATATGTAAAACAACAAAATAAAATATACGTGTTTAAGAGTTTTTCCGAAAAAATCACCGGTTTTTAAATAAAAAATATTCTAATATTTGAGGGGTGGTTTCACCCCCTTAAAATTCGAGTTTCGAAAAATCCCTTCTTATCAAACCTCTACACCCTAAAGTCAATCCATTTTCCAAAAATCAGCTTTTTACGTCAAGCGCTTTAAGCAGGATCGTGATTAATCAAATTATTTATGACAGTAGCGATACGTTAGGTTCCAATCCAATTTTGTAAATTAAACTATTTATAAAATAAAATATGACCTAATACCCCAAACTGATGTTTAGTTTTTATTATTACTAAACCAAATACTTAAATATTATGACAAAGCCACGATTTTAATATTATTTCAATGCTATCAAGATCGGAACTGCGTGAAATACAGAGCGAAAACTTCTAATTTCTGCCATATAGAGCGCTGCGGGCGGAACTTTTAAATTCAACTGAAATGCACGAAGCCTATAATAGATTGTGCGAGACGCAGCATTAAGGTTTATTACGTTATATTATTACGTTTAGCCCATACACATGCAAATGTTTACCAAAACAACAGCGTATTATAATTTTTATTCTGGTTACGTGTAGGCTGTTATGTTTTATCATCTAATTGATTATACAATCAAGCCGGTGCAAGAGTTAACTGTCCGAATTAACTCGATTTAAAATTGGCGCTCGAAACGGCGCGGCGCGGCGCCGGTGCTACACAATAATTAATTAGTTTGACGGTGGCACGTCGGCCGAGCAATCATGGAAATTATGGAATTTGCGCTGTGGCACAAGCCGATTGTCGCTTAGGCCGCAGCGTCAAACGACCGTAATAACGCTAATTGTCGCCTCGTTCCCGTAATACGGATTCCCGCGGGACCCGGTCGCTTATCTAGGGACAGCATTGTCGATTGGAAAATCTACCGCTATTACCGATATTGTACGAGGAAATATTAATCGACAGGAATGGCTGGATGAAGGCGCGATGTTGTATTGTGACCCGTAAATACCGGGTGTGTCTCAAAAGTGGCTCACCCCTATAACTTTTTATTTTTTCAGACAAAAAAACGAGATTTGGTATATTAGTATATGACATAAATTAGGATTGACTGACGTATTCAATTGTTTTTGGTCACTTCCTGTTTCACCGGAAATGACTACAACTTTTGATTTTTAAATGGCACCTTCGGTATTTTTTTACTTTATTCCATAGAAAATGGATTTCCGAATAGAACGACATATATGTCAACTTTTGAAATTCTCGTTTAATAAAAAATTGTATTTTAAAATTCAATTTAGAGTGCCATGGCTACGTTAAAAACACTAATTCTTAATCAAGGAGCCTTGGAATAATAGATTTGATCGTCTAATGCTTTTAGTTTCTTGTCCTGACCAGTTAGAAAATGGTCAAATCGTATTTTTATCAGGTCGTTTATGACCCAAATAACTCATTTTGAGTGAAATTAAAAAAACTTACTAACCAAAACATACCTGTTGGTATGGTCGGCTAATAAAGTAATATAGTACCTACAATATAGAGATTAATAAGTAAATATTATATATTTGGAAAGAATTGCTCGAACATACTATAAAACTACCGGTTTAAAATATTTTTTGAACGGAAATATAAATAAATTTGTAAATTAAAAAATTAAAAATTTATATAAAGTTTTGTCGGAAAAATACAGAAAGCGCTGTGGGCTATTAAAACGTCATTTTTTTGCCATCGCGCGGCAGCATTCGCTTTATTTTTATTAAATTGTTTTTATTTAATAAATTACGAGTAGTACGGGTTGCGAATTAAATTTTCAAACGATGCCAAAAATAAATATGATTAGGAAAATTGCGATCGTTTCGAATTTGCCATTACACGCACAAACAATTACAGTAATCGAACTTCGAAAATTAATTAAATGATCAAAAATTATGTTTTGCAAATCAACATTTCCCGGGCGCTTTCATTGCGAGATACGGCTTTGAACAGAGTAATAAAAACGCTTAAAGTTTTATATTTTGTTTGTCTTCTATTGGATGTAAAATAATATTTTATGAATTATTTAACTGTAATGTACTTTATATTTATTCTTTTTATTAGGCCCATTCTGGACTCATAGGTATTTCATTTTTCAGATATAAGCCATTTTTCAAAATATAAACCAGATTTATTTTATTTTCTTGTGTACAGTGTGACATACCGAAAGATGGGACCAATTTCATTTTAAGGGTATATCTTCCAATGAAATGCAGACAGCTTTAGCACGTTTGTAGATGGACACATCCGGTACGTTAACAATAGGACAATAAAAACATCGGCAGTAAAGATATTTAGGTACTGACCGCAGGTTTCATACTGGTGATCGGGTATTAGGGGTTTAAGATTTATTTTAAGTTGATTCTTACTATACCTTCCGTATCAGTTCACTTCCATTTCCCTCCCGTTTACATAAAATATTATATCATGGAAATGAATAGGACAATGCACACTATCCGTTCCGTTTCCCTTCCGTTCCATATCCTTTCCTTCCATACCCTTTTTTGGCGGACGGACTGAAGCGTATCGGAAACAGCGTTGTCAAGTTCTTACATTTGTACCAACTCTGTTAATATTTTGCTGATATGTATTTATTCTTTCACCTCTTATTTAAATTATTATTAAACATTGCCTTTTTCAAAAGATAAAATTTTTAAAATAAAACTTTCGTAATGATATAAATTGTAGAATAAAAAGTATGGAATTAATACGGAACGAAAGCAGCGTCAATACAATAAAAAATACGGAACAGATATGGAATGGAAACGGAAGGTATAGTGAGAATCAACCTTTATGGCACCTGCTCTACTCGCTGTCCTATCAGGCTTTTTGAAACAGACTATTCAAAGATTAGGGTAGGTTAGGTTAGGGTTCTGTAACTTTTGTATCAACAGCATTGTCGGATGCGTCTTGTAGTTGGTTTTTATTAAAACTATACTTTCATTTTAAATTTCCCGCTTCTAAACTGAGATAAAATGGAATCTCACTATTCTCTATATTATCTCGAACCGCGTTACTGTTTAAAAGTACTCGTATTCTATGATTAATAATTTGTCATTTGAAAGTACAAATCTACAATGGCAAATTAAAGTCGCTATTTGGTATATAATGCGAATAGATCTATATAAATATATATTATGTGTATAGTATTAGCATTGTTAGCTCTGTTATATCCATACAATAGAACATACATACAGAGCATAAAATCAGAGGCAGTCCAATGCCACACAGGTACTTTTTACTGTTTCCGCATCGCATGCTTTATATTGTTCAACACGCAGAAATTTTGCAAATTTGTTCGTTCGGATCGGTCGGGCCGGGCGCGCCTCGCCACGCTCGCTCCAATATCCGTAATGCGCGCTAATTAGAAATATTAATTCCGATATGTTTGATTTGATTTTGATTACCTTGCATTCCGTACTAATTACTATTAACAATCGGACGTTTGTGCTGACTGGCTGGATTGTTGGTAGTTTTTTTATGCGTATTTTTAGACAACCGGCTCGGTAAAGAGTTTAACAGTAGCGGTTTAGTAAAAATCTGTTTTTTGTTTAAAGATATATAATAGACCTTTTCTAGTTTTTTCCATGCTTTATCTCTAGCCGGTCTTATCCATTGTCTTCCTGCCACTGATTTGACGTCATCGATCCATCTCTTTTTTGGTTGGCCCACAACTGCTATAGTTCCTCTTGGTCTAGTATGACTATGTATTTGGGGCCATCCCATTGGTCTGGATCATGTCGTACCACATGTCCGACCCATTGCCACTTTTTTAACAACATCCATCGCTTTTGTTTCTTCACGTATTTAGGTGTTCCGTATTTTTTCTCTCAGGGTGACTCCTAACACAATTCTCCCCATGGCTCTTTGTGCAACTCGC